TTATTTGAAACTTTCAATAACTCACTAGAAAATAAAATACAAATTAAGGAGACCACTATTATGTTTTACTCAGTAGAACGCAGATGCTTCACTAGTGTCACGTCATTCTTTAACGGAATAAGTTATGTTGAACATATTGGATGAGTCATCCATCGGATCTGGGTGTTTTTTCCCAAGAAAGGTTGACGTCAAGCTGGTCGTAAAAACTTAGCTATAACTTCTTCTTCTTCGTGGTCTGCATTACTGAAGGTCGTATCCTTCCTGAAAAAATTTAAGAGAAGCGGCGACGAGCTGCTTCCACACCACTTTGTCTTCGGCCTTCTTCAAGGCAGTGGAAACAGGTAGCCCGGTATAAGTTTCACTTTGTCAGACCGACGGGTAGGTGATCTCCCAGGTGGTCTTTTGCCATCCACTTTCCCAACTACAACTAGTTTTTCATAATTATCTGGCTGCCTACGGGCGATACTACACTAAAACTACTCACAACATAACTCAGGTGTTGTGCTGATCCCATCGAAGTGGGATAAGGGCAGGAGGATAATGATTAAATATAATGCAGCCGTGATAGGTGTGTTCGAGCGCTTGCTTTTACTTAATTATACTCTAGCAATCTAAGTTCAAAACCCCGGTGCCCGCACCAATGAAAGTGTTAATTTTGAGTGCTGACTTGTAACGTGCTCAGCGATGAAAGAGAACATCGTGGGGTAACCTGCATATATTCGAAATAGTAAATACAGCAATGTTTTGAAGATATGTGAAGTCTAAATCTACTAGCGAAGTACTAATCCGCAGTGGGGTCGGGTAGTGGACTAATTCCTACCACTCTCTGTTCAGAGGACTCTTTTGCCCAGCAGTGGTCCGTGTATAGGCTGATACTTTACTTCTTACTTTATACAAAATTTACAAATTGATGAATAAAGAAAATTGAATACTGCTACGGAATGTTTCTATATTTTAATGGATTACGTTCTACGCTGTTGTCAAATATTGTGGTTAAATTTATGTAAGTTTAACTCTTGATGTAACAGCTGTTTTAATCTGCTAGTGTACCAGAAACTCTCGTGCATATATCCAGAGGAGAATTATCGTTTACAGCGCTCTAAGCTCGGTTAGGCATGTTTAATGAAAAGTTTGAAATTACGGCCTAATGTGTCCCGCCAAAGGTATTTCACGTGACACACGGCATCCCAAAATTAATTTTGGGATGCCGTGTGTCACTCTAATTTCCTGAGATGATTTTTTTTTATAAATTCCACTGATAGCACCGCTCCATAAAACTATTAAGGACTTGTAGTGCTCGAAAATCAGTTTGGAAACAATTACTTAACTACATAGTATAAAACATATGTATGCTTATATCTTTAAAACTAGGCAACGGATCTTGATGCGTTTTTTTTACTAGATAGACTGATTCAAGAGGAAGGTTTATATGTGCAATAAATTAAACCCGTGCCAAGCCGGGGCGGGTTATATATTATAAAATAAACTAACTGCTGTTGGTAACAGGCATTCAATCTTCGATATGAGACAATCGCTTGGCAATAAAAAGGTAGTCTCGTACCGTTTTGAATTGAAAATGCCTCATGTCAAATTCGAGATATCTAGAAAGAAAGTAAGAAAATACATTTACTAACCAGCATCTGTGTGAACTTTACGTATTCGATAACAGTGATACTTACTATACGAGCTGTCAGTATCACTTGATGTTTTGTTGCTTAAACTTTTGCTTATAAATGGTGTATTATCTTACCAATAGGGTTCTTAGTAAAATATCTAGTGATCGTTCTTCCTTACATGACTGGAAAAAATATTTTATTTACGTTTTAAGGTTTCGCAGTGGTGTAAAAATGTAACTCGTTTTTGTAAACATAATATTATGAAGACGTCCATGGGCGGCGGTATTCACTTAACATCCGGTCTGGCCCGTCTGCTCGTTTGGCAACATTTCGCATAAAAGAAAATAGTCCTTGTTAAAAGTCGACTTAGGGACGTATGTCAAACGTGGTACTGATTTTTGGAATCTGCTTCTGCAGGCTCGTCCAAGCAAGTCCTGTGGCCTCATAGACGATCAGCGTGAACTGGATGGACAATACTTTCACGTTTCCGTCAGGACTAGTAGAGGTTGTTGGGCGGTGGTAACCACTTAATATCCTGCCTGCTCGCTTGCAAACTATACACATAAACAATGAAAGAGATATCTCGATTACGTATAGGTACTATTTAGTCGTACTGCAAAATTTATAATATAATAATTGGCATTTGTGATGAAGGCTTGGTTTCAAATTTATTACTTTTTTTTATGCGAATAGTTGTCAAAAGAGCAGACGGTTCACCTGATGTTAAGTGAAAACCGCTGCCCATGGACATCTGCCACACCCGAGGGTTACAGATGCGTTGACAACCTTTTGAAAATTGGGCTTCGGCACTCACCAGACGAAAACGCAAAAGTATTTGTCATACTTCCACTTTACGCTGGTCTTCTGTGAGGTCGTGGTACTTACCCGGACGGGCCTGCCCATTCGTGCAACAGCAGAGGCTGCTGCGTGGCCCTACCACGGTTTTTAAGCGCAAGCGATGTGAATTAATTTGAAGCAATTGATTCACGCTGCCCATTCCTTAATCAGGATGGAGCAAGATTGCTTCTCTGCTGATGCACGGATAGGTAGGCTTGTCTAGAGAACCGCTACAACCTTATACTTTTGTGTCTAATCTGGTTAGTGAGGCATCTGGGGTCTGCTTTCTCATAAGGTCTCACGAGTATTTTAGATATCTTTGGGTGTCGGTAATCTCTTAACGTATTGGAACCATCATGATTTATCACTTCACATATAAAAATAAGCTCTTGTAAACCAACGCTCCATCACACTGCTTGTAGTCATTCATATTTACAGTCTTGGAGAAGATAACGGAGATCTACATTTTCAAAGCAAGCGGCAAAATGAAATCATAAATTAAATCGCAAAGATTATAATACTATTATGTCACCTTGGTCTTTTGTAGGGGCCTCCTTGTACCCACACACGCTTTACTATTACACAAACAGGTTTGATAAAGATAACGCGTAACCATCTTAGCCATAAGTACCGATTAATTCTATTATTTTAACTCACAAGCACATTATTGCAATATCATAACAATTTTTTATTCGAACTAACAGGGAGGCAGATTAAAATTCCTTACTGCAGGTTGATATATAATATAAAAAGGAGGCCAGACAGAACACACCTTTTAAACAATATTAAGATTTTGTATTTTATCGCTTTTATTTGTTTTAAATATAGTAAGACCACTGAAACTAAAATAAACATTATATTTTTATTTTATTATGAAGTAACCTATTCGTGTCTATGCTTTTATGGAGATATACATGACACATTTATGCTTTATGTAACAAGTTTGACGGCGTCTGCGTTGAAGTTAAATTGCGATGTTTCAGGTACGCAGTTTCAGGACGCACGTACAAATCGTTTTCCATGGGGATTGGTTAAAAACAACAAAAACAGTCACGTTTACATATTAAAGTGCCGGACGTGTTTGTCGCGGTGTTGGACCGGACTTAGCGAAGCAGAGTTCTGAGTTACATGTTTTTAAAAGCTTTGAATATCTTAAGAGACTGTGAACAAAAAAGTTTATTTGTATTCTATAAATTTTAAAATTTTAAACAACGTTTAAAATTTATAGAATACAAATAATGTTGATAAATTAAACAAATTTTCCAAATGCAATTATTTACCAAAACTTTTGTGTTATGGCAAATAATATTATTTTCCTTAAAACAAAAACCACAAAATGTCAATTATTACATGATCGATCGTCAGAAACACACGTCAGTACAGTTGTAACTTACATTACTCGCATATTTACTTTATAATATAGAAGATAAATTTTGTATAGATAATAATTGAGGAACTATCACAAGACGTTTCTTCGGTAGTCAGAAAGTTCATCGTTAGGAAGTTTAGATGACCTATACCTAAGCTTCCTAACAATGATCGTTCTTACATCTTATCGTACACATTGAAAGTCTGCCGTAGGTACGAGTGTGAGGAATATACATGTAAGCGAGTGCAAGTGGAATAGTGCGTTTGGTTTGACTTTTGCCCTTTACACTTTCACTGCGCATCATCTGAATTATGTACAGTATACGTTTTATTATTCAAACTTTGTATGAAACAAAAGTAGTTTTAACAAAGTATTATCATGGGACAAGTATTACTTTGCGTTCTTGTTAAAAAATGATGGCTAAATAATATAGTTCCCTGAGGAGACTTTGAAACATGTCAAACTGTTTTTAAAGCCCGAAAAAAACATAACCTCAAAAATAAATAAATTATTTTGCCTGATGAAAATACATATCATTTTCTTCAGTGGTTTATATCAAGGCATTCAATGCGTTTCCACCAAAACATTTCACAACGTCTCCCCATTTTTATTGCTAGAAGCAAGATTCACCCCAACCATGTGTTAATGGGGTGTATCTTGCTTCTTTCGAGGAACAAACAAGGCCAAACGAGCAAGCGGGTCACCTGATGTAAAGTGGTCACCGTCACCTGTGTAGTGTGTTCACACCTCCAACATCGGAGGAGGCACTTTAAGTCGTTTCGGTCCAGAAATACCGCTGATAAGAACTGGTTCCACAAAGAAGCTGTGTGGGGCAGAAAATTGCGTAAAAACGCACAGTGGTGAACAACCAGCTATCAAGGTGGTGTCGATGGTAATTGGCAGTTTGACGATTTGTTATCACAACACACTGAACAATTCCTCATAGCACTCCACGTTATATATCCAAAAAAAATGCAAATGGATGCAACATTTTTTCATAAGACCAAAATGTATACTACTATAACTATAGTCTCTGATTCCTCCTGGCATTTTCTTTAAGTGTTAGTGCAACTATTTTTTATAGATTTTTAATGCCCTTTTTATTTTAATGCAAATACAATCTGTTTGATCGGGTTTAAAATAAAAAACGATGTGTCATTTGACATTTCTCCATGTTACCAGGTGCGAAGGTTAACTCCTATCATCTTGCCACCCCTCGACGACTGAAGGAGCTCGAGTAGGTGGACTTGCTGCCGCAGATTTGATCCTGTGAGGCAGCGTAACTTGTGGAGGGTTCGTCGGACAATCCCTTTGGATGTTTTCACATCAGCGACTCCCTGCACGCTATCCGGTCCTGTGAAGAGCCTCTGGATAACCCATGCGTCATTTAAGTGGAGGCACGTTCTCTTCTTTGAGCAGGACCAGTTCACCTTCGTGATATTCGTAATTCGCTTCTTGTAATTTGCTCTAATATTCATTGCGTTGGCGCTCCCAAAACGTTGTTGCCGTAGTTGTTCTATAATGGTATCTATTAAGTCTGTGCATTTTGACATCAGTGAGGGTCGGTGATGGAAGCGAAGTCAAGGGTCTTCCAATCAGGAAGTGCCCGTGACAGGTTCAAGATCATTAGGATCAGCAGATCGACCGCTTAACTCAGCGGCTAAAATATCTGGATAATCATCTGGAAGGCGTTGGTTCTTTTCCCGAGAGCAGCGGCGAAAAATTTTTTGACAGTTTTATCTACACATTATAAGTTTAATCTAAAGTGCGGAGAGTAGCATTAAAATTACAAATTAAATATTTGCTTAATAAATAATTTAATTCAAATAATTTTTACAGTATGCATGTAGACGGTGTAGTTATACCAACATGAATGGCAACGTCAACTTGCATAAAAATATAACTAATAATACTTATAGAAATCGATTTTTTAAATATATATATTTAATGGGTGTAAAAATTATGTGACTGAAGGATTGATGAGTATAAATGTATTTGGAAGGTGCAAAGCTTGAGGAAGACCGAGAAAGATTTGAATGGACTGTGTGAAGAATGATAGGTCTGTGAAAGGGGTCAGTATTGAGATGACGGCTGATGGAGAAAAGTGGAATGATGTTACATATTGTGCCGACCCCACCTACTGTGGGATAACGGCAGGAGAAAGAAGAAGAATACAAAAATGACTCAGCGACGCTCAGCAGGCGATGGAAAGAGCTATGCTCCAGGTTTCTCTGCGGGATCGAATCTTAATGAGGTGATCTGCGGACGAACGAAAGATACCGCCGTAGTCAAACGGGTCTGCGAGCTGAAGGGGCAATGGGCAGAGCTCGCAGAACTGACGGCCGATGGGGCAGCAAGGTTCTCGAGTGGAGACCGAGTCTCGGAAAGTGAAGCGTGGGGCGGCCGCCCGCAAGATGGATTGATGACCTGACTAAGGCCGCGGAACTTCGCTGGTGCGGGCAGCTTCTAATCGATCGAAGTAGAAATACCTAGAAGAAGCCTATGTCTATTTTTTATGTGATAAGTTGCCAAGCGAGCAGGCGGTTCACCTCATCTTAAGTGAATACCGCCGTCTAAGAACATCTGCTACACCCGAGGGTTGCAGATGCGATGACAACTTTTTGAAAATTGGACTCCGGCTACCTCAATCACCAGATGAAACGCGAAAGTATTATACTTTCACTTTACCTGGTCCTTACTCGGACGAGCCCGCCCATTCGTCAGCCGAGGCTGCTGCGTGGCCCTACCACAGTGGAATGCAGTGTTCAGTAGTGGCCGCTTACAGGCACAAATGATGCTGATGATGATTAAAAATTAAAGGAAAGATTAAAATTAAATATTAAAGGCATAAAAATGTTTAGTTAAAATGATATTACCTCAGCAATTATGCTAATAATACATTAATCGGATCGACTGTGCTAATCAGTTAAAAGCATGTCCTAATTTTATGATTTTCATAATTTTGACAAACGTCAATTGTCATGAGGTAATGGCAAATGATTGTCACTCGCATTGCGTCAATGATATTAGGCCCACGCTATGATTATTATATGGTTTTTGAGCGTGGATACGTACCATGGGAGTATTAAACTTAAATCTATACAGTTCCGAGACAATGTTTTATTTACAAATGACGATGTTTAACAAATGATAAAATATAAAAAATGGATTTGTTTTGTTTTAAAAATCTTTGTAAAAACCATAAAGATATTTATTTTCAAGAATCACCTGGATTCAAAACTTAACTACTTTTTTATCTTCTATTGGTATCCATTCCATATTGTATCACTTTTATTTTTAGTGGCTAATTACTGGTAATTATAAAATGTGTTTGCATTATATTAGAATTAGGCTGAAAACTAACCTGCATTACTTTATACAGAATTTTGTTGATGTGTTAATTAGTAATTGAGATGATTAGGTGCAGTTGTCAAAGATTTTTAATCGGTAACTGTCTTCATGAAACTGTGAATATGAGTTAATAATAAGTGCATGAAATCGTATTGGTATCTGATAATAACATAAACAATGTCATCACTGTATCATTCATTCAAGACATGAAAATATAAGTTAGTCGTTTATTTAAAGTAAGGTTTTGCAATGATTATTTCGTATTCAGCTTTGTTATAAGAAATTATATTTTAAAGTTAAGTAGTTACAGATGTTAAAGAAGACATATTATAGACTAATACGAGTATAAAATCAAATTCAACAGACAAAGAGTATTTCGTGTATGTGACCGATATATACACTTTTTCATAGTAACAGAACGGGACATTATGGTTTATATATCTAATGGTATTTAACAAGGTTAGATTTACAATAAACCATTGTCATCTCAAGAAATATTGTAATTATTAATTTTGCAGAATAAAATAATTTTCATTTGTTAATCCATATAACGTAAACAAGACGATACGGATTTGTCAGTTTAGACGATCCTAATTGGCCGGCGGGGTGAATGAGAGGTCAGATCGAGCAGCAGTCAAATTGCTTTTCCACTGGGTTATCATTGTTGCAACACGTACGTTATAAAATACACAGCGACGAGCAAAACAAAACATTGAGGCTGAACAAACAGGTAACGAGATCAATAAGACCGTTCCACTGCATTGGAAGCACGATTTCATTTCGATCAATATTGCGTTAACCGAGGCTAAACTTGCACTGGCACGATTTTATCAGGGTTCTGTAACCGAGGGCTAAAACGCGATCCCAGCACTAAGATTCAGTTGTCTATCTGTCTGTCTGTCTTTATATATTTCAAACATTCTCCTTAAATAAAAAATAAAAAAAAACTTAAATTATAAAATCCAGTATCGATGGTAATTTTTAAAGTTTTCAATATAATCATGATTCAAGTATCCCAAAGATAACAAAAAAGTTTTAATTTTGAGACATAAGCTGTGATAGTTTATCATTTACCATAAAATACCATAAAATTAAAATTGAAGATACTCGTATTATGCCTACAATTATGCCTTAGTTACTTCTGTGAACCAAAGCTTAAAGTGAAACATGTCCAGTGAAACGGTCCATGAAGAATATAAAAATAAAATAACGTAATACTTAAATCATTACGTGTTGTAATAAAACTGCATCTCTAAATGAAGCGCGGTATTTTGTATTATTACGATGTATTGGTTTCTTTTCCAATACATCTTCTTAAATCTTAAAAATGTTGTCGAACAAAAGCGCAGAGACAAAGCACTTTGAAGACGTTGTTTGTTGTGTTGGTCAATTCCTTCTTGAAATACCTCATTCTTTCCGTTCCTAGTACTTAAGTTTAAACCCATTTCAAATAGCTGTTGCGATATATTGTTTATTTGTTTAAAAAATGAATGAAATATATTATTTTATCCTTGAATAATACGTACGTCAATTGAATTAATTCATTACTGATCCCTTAGAATATCGTGAATGTGACTGAGATGACTCCGTGGCGCAGTTGTCAAGGTATAGGCTTCGGCGTCGGGGATCGTGGGTTCGATTCTGTTGAATATGTATCAAAATAATATTTATGGTTTATGTAGACATCTTGTATGGTCTGTGTGAAACGTGCATTTGATTATGGATATGCAATAAAAGTTTTTCAGTCTGTGCCGAGCACTCATAGTTTCATTAGGTTATGGGCCCAGTCCCGCATTGTTCTTTAAGTAAAATTGTAATAATATTACTGTTTCAAATGGCTGCAAGTTTTATTTTAAATGTGCCAAAACTCAGGGGACGAGAAAATTACGACGAGTGGGCGTTCGCAGTAGAAAACTTCTTAATTTTGGAAGGCGTCGACATCAATAAGCAAGAAGATGGCGGCAATGCAGTTAGCGTTATTGACGGTCAAAAGGCAAAAGCTAAGCTGGTTATGACGATAGATTCGTCATTATACGTGCACATAAAGAGCGAGAATACAGTTTTGGGAGTATGGAAAAAACTGAAATCGCTATTCGACGACTCCGGTTTCACACGCAGAATTAGCTTATTAAGAAATTTGATTTCTATACGCCTTGAGAACAGTGAATCAATGACGGCGTACGTTACGCAAATCATTGATACGGCGCAGAAATTACGAGGTACTGGCTTCGATATTAATGAAGAGTGGATAGCATCGTTGCTGTTAGCAGGTTTGCCGGATAAATTTTCGCCCATGATAATGGCGATCGAACACTCGGGGTTGGCCATTTCCGCTGACGTCATTAAAACAAAACTGTTGGACATGTGTGACAATGTTGGCAGCACTGAGCCGGAAAGCGCGTTTTTATCGCATTGGCAGCGTCATAAAGAAAAAAACAAAGTTGACAAAACTGGTGAAGCGTCATCTCGACCTATTAAAGTTATTAAATGCTATAGGTGTAAACAAGCCGGTCATTATAAAAACCAATGTCCACAAATTAAACAAAAGCAAGTAAACGCTTTCAGTGCAGTGTTTCTAAATGGCAGTTTTGATAGAAATGAATGGTACATTGACTCCGGTGCAAGTAACCACATGACAATTAGCCAAGAAAACTTAAAGAATGCATCACATAACCTAGCTACTAAGGAGATTATAGTTGCAAACAGAACAACTATGCCAGTGTTGTGCTCAGGAGATACACAGATCGTGACGGTAGTGAATGACAAGGAGTATGATATTGTTGTTAAAGATGTGTTATGTATTCCCAATCTCACCACAAACTTATTGTCTGTCAGTCAGCTGATAAAGCATGGTAACAAAGTGAGCTTTCAGCGTGAATGTTGTTATATCAGCAATCAGCAGAATGAACTGATTGGTACAGCAGAGTTAGTGAACGGGGTCTACAAGTTGAACACAAGGTCAGCATGTTTGTTTGCAGTTTCAGCAACAACGACCTCAGATATAATATGGCACAGAAGACTTGGCCATATTAACAGCAAAGATATGAATGACATGAGAAATGGAGCTGTAGAAGGTTTGGAGTTTGATAAAAAGGCTGAGATCAGCAAGTTCAATTGTACAGTTTGC